TGGTGCACCAACAGAGCTAATGTCACTATCAGATACTTGGAATCTTCCCAATACAAGCCCGCCGTAGCCCTCATCGACACGCTTTTGACCGAGTTGAGACGGTTGGACGACAAGATGATTCTGACAGAAGTTCATCTATTGGAAAGTCGAGTATATAGAGGTCTAAATAATTTTGCCAAATCAAAGGTGTGTTTTTTGTCTTTAATCGAGACGCGTCACTCATCTAGATAGGCTGCCCTGACCTCTGCAAGGACTGCTGCCAATTCCATATACTGCCCTCCAATGCTCCAGGCGTCCCTAGATCTCCAGTCAGGTTCGTCCATATCCATCCATCTGGTGTGACAAAGCTAAATGTTTGTAGGGATCCTTCACGCGGAAGACAAAGAGTATACAACCGCATATTCTTACTTTTTCGAAGCGTTCGAAAACTTGACCTCTCATGGAGAAGACACTCGGGCGCTAAGTGCTCTCAAATACATGCTCCTTTGCAAGGTTATGTTAAATTTGGTGCGTATCCGTGTCTTCTTTTTTGCTGTTTCTCATTATTCCACAGCCAGAGGATGTTACATCTCTGCTTTCGCTGAAACTGGCGCTGAAATATGCTCAACTTCGAGAGGTGGAGAGTATGCGAGCTGTCGCTCGAGCTCATCAAGACCGTAATCTGGCAGACTTTGAGTCGGCCTTACGGGACTACAAGGATGGTATGATACCCCAAATCCCCCGTCAACGACCGCTCATAATGGACGGTAGAGCTGTCATCCGACCCGACGATTCGGTCTCATTTGTCTGAACTCTACGACACCTTGTTAGAGCAAAATTTGCTGAGGATAGTGGAACCATATTCGATGGTGGAAATTGAACATGTCGCAGAGCAGGTCAAGCAGGGTCGACAAGGTGTAGAGACAAAGTCAGTCTCCTTGGCTTTACACTGTCTTCACGGCTGATTGTTCTACTCAGGTTATCGCAGATGATCCTGGACAACAAGTTGGATGGTGTCCTGGACCAGGGCCGCGGTTGCTTGTTACTCTTTGACAAGGCGGTTTCCGATGTAAGAATTCACCTCCGATGGCCCATCATCTTCCCTGACCTCTTTCTCTCAGGACATGTACAGCACTGCGATCTTGACTTTGACAGAAGTTGGCAAGGTTGTGGAGTCTCTTTACGCAAAGGTGAGCAATCATTTGTACCACGGAATTTTGGTTTCTAATCGACTTGATCAGACACTTAAGATTGCATAGGATAGATCAATGTAGACCTTGAGCTGATAAATGGCTGCCTTTTTTCTTTTTCTGGGTGGCGTCTCGGGCCTTCGACATGTTCTTTCACGAACGGAGGCAGCAATTACTGGAAAGAGCTGGAAAGGCAAACTCATACTGAAAAGACAGTGGCAAAAATCGGTCCGACCCTGTTTGGCTTGGTTTGGGTTCCAGATGCGGCCGGCGTTGAAGCTCCTTCCATTCACTCATTGAAGCCCTGTTTTGATCGAGCACACCAAAGTTCTCAAAGCTTCCTCTAGCGATATGGATGATATCTCTTGTATCCCAGACTCTTCGATGCTCATTCTTTATCCCGAAAGTTTGTTGGGCCAACCTTCGTCGTTATGTCTCCTAACCTCCGATGATACTCGTTCCAACAACTCAACCATTCTTTTTCCTAAAGCCTTGGAACAATGGGCCACAGAAAACCAGGATCCCTTGATCAAAGCAGCACTAGCTAGCAAGATCCTTGCCTTGGCCGTCGATATCCTACCACCCGATTCCTCCAAACCATCACAAGCGTGTTGGTCGCTCTGGTCTGGTCGCTCGCCAGATCAACTCGAATTCTCCTACAACCTCGCTCTCGAGACTGGCGTACCCGTCCGCATTGTGCCTTCAGAACAGCTACCTCCAGGAATGCTACCATTATCGCTTTTGACTCCCGAGAAAGCGCCTCTCGCCGAAATCTCCTCCAATGTCCCCATCATGGCAACCTCGACCTCCAGCCTATTCAAACCTAAGCCATCCAGGACAAAGGACGAAACCAAGAGTAATCTGTCTGTATTAGCTGCCTTTGGCGACAAGTCTGGAAAGGGAACCGACGGACTGGGTGGGAAAGACGAGAAGTTCGGAGCCTATGAGGGTGGCGGCGACCAAAAGAAACATGCAAACAGAGACGACAATGGCCGGAAGGAGCAAGGCAATGACAAGACCGAAAAGGAGAAGGATACCATTGGAGATGCCAGTGCGAAGGAGATCGACGAACTCGAACAGAAAAAGGCTACTGTGACCTTTGAAGAGCTGCCTCAACCCGGGTTTGGGGTATCTTCCACTATCACCCACAATGTGAGTGCTTTTTGAATATACAGTTCGTTGCATCATACAGCTTTCAGGTTGCAGTTTGGACAACACGAGCTGGCATGACGGCCACGTCCCAGGTTAAGCTCAAGCATTTGCGGTCCAAGAGGTACCACCTGCAAGCCGCCTTCATCCGCATCACGGGTCCCGAGATTATGAGGACATTTCACAGGTTTTTCACCTTACAGTTTCCAAGATTTCGCGCTGAATTTTTGAAAGCTCCTGCGAGAATCCGCTGCCGCTCGGAACCGACAAGCATGGCTCGAAAGCGGCAACCACCAGAACCTTCGGCTTGACTGGAGGTCTCAATGCGGCTGCGCCAGTCATTAATGCTGCTCTCACCTTGGTGAAAGCGGTGGAAGAATCACATGAGCGTCAGTTTCCTGTAAGTCTATCTATCTTCCTCTGAGGCAATCTTATTTAGTCTGAGTCGATTTTAGCCGAACACTACTTTCATCAGCGAGCTGTGGGACACCGACACAAGATCGGACATCTTCCGTGTCACCCCAAGATTAGCGTCAGAGCTACCTGGACCGCTCGAGGTTACGTTGACGTCCCATATCCGGTTTCACGATCCTTCGCGCAAAGTCAGCACCCATAGTTTATTGGTTCTTCGACAAGGCTGACTAAACCACAGCCCATCGATTCTTTTGACCTGATGGTCAATGTGCAATGGCATATACTCGAAATCCGGCATGGTAAACTGGCAGTATTTTTCGCTCTTCTTCATCATGTCAGTGCTCCGGGTCCGCTTTGGTTGTTGCGCGACTCAAACGTGTATCTAGGCGACCGAGAACATTCTCAAAAAATGGCCCGAGTCTGACAGTAAGTCAACATATAGTACCACATACTGGAAAGGTGGGTCCTGTCGTAAGACTGTCTGTCCAGACTCGCTAATAATTTGATAAGGTTGCTCAGATGATGGCGCAGCAAACTTAGGTATATAACCTCTTGCTTTTCTTTTCTTTTCATTTATGTACATCTCAGAAATGCCGACCCTCGTCGAGGCAGCTGATGTGAAGGCTGCAGGGGTCAAGGTCGACCTTGAACTCCGACTCCGACCGAAAACGAGTTCAGTGTTTCAGTTTTTTCAAAATGTTACTCGTCGTTTCCGACGCTCAAAGGTCTATCGACGGCATATGTACTCTTTCGAAATGACCGGTAGGGCTGGCTGGATGCCTATGGAAGTCGAGCGAGGACCGTCCCAGGACGTCGAATAGTATAGACCACATTTTTGACTTTATTTATTTTCCGGTGCAACAATTCGCATGAGGGATTCTCCTGCGCTTTTGAACCTTGGATTGCATACAGCCGTACTCTTTGATCAGATAATTCAACTGGAGACAAATAACCGTCTTTGCCTATAATCGACTCCGGGCTACTGTCGGCTACATACATCTAGGGACCTGTCTCGACGGTATCGATCGCTGTATCAAGAGATTTGAAGGGGCTGCTATTGCAGCATAGATATTTTCGATGGATTGTGTCTTAAATCGGTCTTCTGTTGAGGCCAACTTCAACTCTAGGACGCCACAATTTAGGCTGGCGAACGCACGTGATAGCACTCTTATAAGCGCCGGGTCCGGGTCCGGACGGCGCGCTCCTGACTCCAAACTACCATGTCTGCACCAACACAACCGGATTACTATGTCAGAGCTTTCTATATATTTCGGCTCTCGCTAACGCATCACAGGGAGCCAGAGCTTGTCCGGACGCAGTCTTCGTCCTTATTGAGCCTGGACTTTATGCCAGGATATCAAAAAAGTCAAACGCCAATGCAATCGGCTTGTTTGTTTTCGAATTCACTGACTCTGACAAGGACGGCTACAGCATTCTCCCTTGCCCTTCGAACATGTTGGTCTATTCGGCGGAGTGGGGTGGCCCACCAACGCAGCGGTCCCCAATGCCTCTCATGCTTTCCTATTACATTCCCGTCGTCAACGAGGTCCACATCTATGCCAGAAAAGATGTCTCGTCTCCCTACGAATACCGACAGAGTATCCCTATTCCCAAGAGTTACGCTCCATCCTGTATTCATTTCCTCCTCCTTCACCGCAATTGCTGACTCCTGTCTAGGGCAAGACCCCAGGAATGCGATAGTCCCACAACCAGACATGCAGCAACATATCATTGATTGTGACAACTGGATACGGGAGAAATATAACCTTCCTGGACCTCCTTTGTGGCGGAATGGGATGGGAACCGAAAGCAAGACAAAGGCCCTCCTCTGACGAGTGCACAGAGGCATCTCAAGGCCATCGAAGAGGTTCTAGCTGGAAGAATCCCAAAACCATTGCGAGGATCACAGAGATTATAAGTTCACGAATAAGTAGACGACTGAAAAAGGAAGTTATCAATGTCAAATATCAGTTGCGATACGAGTTAAAAGTGCAGCGTCCGTTCATATGTATCAAGCATATTCATGTCAAAGGCATGAACGCAGACTCCAAATAATTCGACGTCGCCCGACTCGTCCGGACAACTTTAGAATGCGATCAGCATTGATCTGATGGTCTTGACAGTGACATATTCTGTCAACTTCGGCCCGTGATGCAAGAATGGGAATCCTGGCTTCTCATACTCTTCTCATGAGTTCTCATGGTTTATTTCTTACGACCTGTGCCGACTTCTCCAGACATGAGATGGCTCTTCAAATGCTATTTATATGGCCCAATGGTCTAGTGGTACGATTCTCGCTTTGGGATATTCCAAGATTTGCGTCTTGCCTGTTCTCACTGCGAGCGGCCCCGGGTTCGAATCCCGGTTGGGCCCATGTTTTTGCCAAGTGGATCCATGTTTCCTCGATTTGTCAAAGCAGGACTTTGTTTCCTTTTAAGTCCATCGAGCTCTAGGACGCCAGATATTGGGTCCAGTTTCATTTGACTTTGACCTACTGCCGACACCGGCCACTTTCCAAGCATATCATAAGTGACTGATCATATAATATTAAGTAATGATCTGCATAAGCAATGTTAAATAAGTGAAGACGGTTGTAGGTACATAAATCAAAGCAGTGGTGCCCTAGTAAATACCGAAGTTTAACACAATCCCATCTTTTTCTCGATTCCTAGCTTGAATATCGTTCAAAAGGTTCATGCCCTCGTTGCGGAATGTATCTGCAGTGACACTGATGTTTGATGGATCAGTGAAGGTCAACAAATTCCGGGAGGCTCCCCATTGTGGCCAGGAAACGCCCTGACCATTCGGGTCCAAGGTATTGATAAAGTGAACTGTGAGTCGGTTAGCTTGAGAAATATAACGACTGGAAAGAAACTCACTGAGAGCATCAGCACCAAAAACATTGTCCTTATCAGTAGCCAGCCAGATTTGATTGACGAGAAGGTCGCTAGTGTGGAAGGCACCAAGGAATGGCGTGGATTTGCCTCTTTTGCTAACTATAGAGAGTGTGTGAGACTAGGAAGATGTATCGCAGAAACACTGACGATAAGCCCAAGTGTTCTGTTTCTTGGAGTTGACCTGGAGTAACAGTCGACGAGGAGCCTGGAAGACAATGTCGCCGAGGATGGCTGCAATACGTTTGAATTGTGGGCTAGCGAGTTCGGTCAGGTCATACACAAGATCTTGAAGAACTGGACACATACGTCAGGGCGTTGGAATCCCCAGTGTCAAAGGGACTTCCGGCGGCAGGGTCAGACGGATAAGCTTGTGCTACAAGTTTCATTTGGGCAGGATTAGCACCATCGAGAAGACTGTAAATTTGAGTATATACGAAGTCGATGAGAAGAAGGTGCCAAGCTCACAAGGTTTGCATAATCGATGAATTCAGGATCCGTTCTGAAATTACAAGTCAAGTAGCATCAAAGGGTGCGAATTCATACTTGCGTGATGTTTAGACTAGGCAAAGCAAATATGCTGAGTAAATGGTCAATATAAATTCGAATATGGAATCAGGGACTATTCACCTTCCCTCGTCGTCGTCATTTCCCGCTATCATTGGAACCTGTAGACCATCAACAATCGATTTCCCAAGTAGATATAGCACACACGTCAGCAATACGACCTTGAGCAACCGCGCACAAAGCTGCTACTGTTTCAATAGGTCGCCGTCGACCATAGGCCTCCAAATATTAGGCAACACTGTCAAAGGGAATCAGTCATGATGTGTCGCTAACGATGTGCTCATACCTAGAGAACGAGAAGGAGTTGGTCGTAGGCGTTGATTACGGGCCACAGTATCTCAAAGGGTACTTTTCTTAGACAAGCGATCGTGTCTTGAGAACCAGTACAGTTGGCTTCTCGAACAATTTGATCATGAGCATTCCTGGAAGCGCGGCGAGACAACAGAAGTATCTGGGCGGGACCACCAGATAACTGCGGGTATGTTAGTCGGTTGCAGTATGAGAACCTGAATGAAAACATACGAGAAAAGCACCATGGAAGAGACCTTGAGTGTCTCCATCATTCACTGACATGTGAACAGCGACGGAGGAGGCGCCTGAGCTGGCACCCGAGCTATGAGATGGTCAGTCTAAACAAACGCACTGAAATGAAATCCAGGTCAAGTACATGATAACCCTGCTGGAATCGCCACCGAAAGCTTTAATGTGCTGCTGGATCCATTCCAAGGCCAAACGTTCTGTCATTGTTTGAATATCTTTCCCGAGAAATGAATAAAATAAAATAAACATACGAATCGTGTAGTCCCAAGTTGGCGATACCTGCCTCTTGAACTTGCTTGCTGCCCAAGAATCCAAGGCCTGTTTAACTTGTAATTCAGCATCAAGACAAGCGATTATATCGACTGGACTGACCGCTAAGACGATAGTTTGCTGTGACAAACATCATAGGCTCGCCGATGGCAATAGATCTTTCGACTAAGGCTAGCGGGGACTGGTCCGTAGAGTCACCGATCTCGAAGGCACCTCCATGAATCCACTGAGGTGCAAGTCAGAATGCGGTATGGTGTCAAAATTCGCTTGACTGACAAACATGACGGGCAGCAACTTCTTCTGTGTGACACTGGGCCGCCAGACGTTGATCGTGAGGCCTAAACCTATTGAGCCTGAATTCACGAGACAGAAAATGCAGCTCACAATCTTCTGAAGAACTATTATTGTTGATAGAGAAGCTGCAACAAAAAGTTTTGAGCTCAACAGTTCGAGGTAACAACAGACTTTCACTTGCCTGATCAATGGTAGCGGACGAGAGCGTCTGCTGAGGACAGGCTGGGCCTACGTTGAACGCCTTTTGAACACCCCGGAGGGGTAAAGGCGGCAGCGGCCTGCTGAACCGCAGCTCATTGAGCGGTGGTTGCGCCGTACCGCATCCCCAGGAATTGGGTCAGATTTCCAACCGTGGAGCCTTCATAGGTCGCATAAGGTAGGGTAACGGTATTGCTAATGATTGTAGCAGCATTAGCCAAGGTTGCTGTGGTCAAGAAGCTGTGGAAGGCTCTCATACTAGTGTTCTGGTTTGATGAGATCGGAAGTGTTTTCGTTGTGGGTTTATATAGCACGGACGCGCCGCCCACTGACGTCTCCATGGCCGTCCCAACAGTTCCAATAGCAACTCTCTCCGGATTTCATGCAGGAATTTGAACGGAAACGACCCGATATATGGTCATCTGTATCACCCAGACTGACCAGACAGAATTAAGCTCGAAGAGCAAGTAGACCGGTGGACGGGAAGTCAAAAAAGCCGGTGTCTGTATTGCGAAACCACTCGGCGGATGATTTCGAGGGTAGAAGGACGCGTCCACCTGACGGCAGGATGCAAGGAGTGGTGTACTATGAAACAGGTTTGGTCACGGGCGACTTGAGCTTTGGTCACAAGCATCAAGAAGATTTCATAAAATACAACAGTGTACAAGATTGTAGTCGACACCAGCTCTACGAACTGATTCAGACATACTCAGGATCAGGTAACGTAAAAAATTCTCCCGGCGTGCAGCGATGCTCCTTTGCCAGCTTCATGCCTGGCTCCTGCGGAAAGAGCTTCCTGCACCACTTGCAAAACGAAGCAGTTTTAAGGAAATGAGCATGCGAAACTGTGAGAGCGGTGAGCCGGAGTCAACAAAAGATAGTTTGGACGAACCATGGGCCATGACTTTTCCAGCTCCCAAGGTCTCTTGACAACCATCCCATTCACAGACGGTGATGTCGCGATCTCCTGCTCCCATGGGCATTTTTGATATGGGCTCTCATATCTCTGACCTTGTGGGATTCTCCACATCCGCCTTGAGGTCCCCCATTTGCACAATAAGGATTTGGCGTAAGGTTGATCGATGTTGATAACCTCAAAGTCTCCAAAATTGGAGACACAATATCCCAGCCGTTGTTCTTCATAGTTCAGATGACGCTGAAAGCATTCGAAAAGACATTCTTGACGGAGGAGGAACAGAGTTCTGAGGTGCCGGCCAGAGCCTTGGCTGAGGAGGAGGCGGATATCGCCCTGGTTGACTGAAACCAGTTCAGCATCGATCGTGAATTTCAGAATGCATGTATACCTGTTGATCAAAGGATACCGAGACGACCCTGGCAAGTCACTTGCATCCTGAACTGAAGTTGCGACCGTATCCGAAGAAGTCTCGCTCTTAGACCTTTTCTTGACAGCATGAAGACTAGACGAAAGGTATCAATGAGATTCAAGTCAAAAAGGCTAGATTCGTACCCAACATTCTGACGCTGTCCAACAGGCGCTGTCTTCTGATTTGCAACAGAGGGCTGTCTTTGCGGCAAGGGCAGAATGGCTCGACCACTACTTGAGCGGAGAGAAAGTCAAAACTAAGAGCAATCCGAGCAAGAAAAGGACGTACACGTCGCTTGTGACCTGCACGCTCGCTTGAAGATAGCTAAATGGTCATTAGTCGCTGCAAGTAATCCAATGAAACGTTGAACCCACTGATTCGAAGATCTGGCAGAACCATAATCAGGATTATGGGTGCCGATACCGAGTTCAACAGGTTGTACCATCTGATGTACCACAGACAGAGCAATATCCCCTCTCTGCGGCAAAGTTAGAATAGGTCTGCCGCTAAAAAGACAAAGCGTCAGATCAGCAATTGGAACAAGAACATGGCGTACGAAGGATCCATCTGGTCGCTCATAGCTTGTATGGTCATTTGAGGATGGCTAGATTGTCGTGCCATTAGTCGCAATAGGTGACCCGATGAAAGGTTGAACTCACTTTGACGCCAATGGTCCCAAGATCCTCTCCCTTTCGATGAGTGCGTCGAACACCTCCCAATCGATGTTGAAGCTCTGGGTATACCAGAGTGGGCTGTCATGAGATCAGATGGCGGTTTCAAGACATCCGAGAACAACATACAGTGGCTCTGGGACATCTTTGGCTCTTTGAACGGCTTTGAGAGTATTTTCGTTCGTGTTGAAAGCATTGCTCTGCTTTTGGGGAGAATCTTTGTTCATTTTGCGAGTACTGTAATTTATCAGTTCGAGTTGGACGAGAATGAAAAAGGTGCTCACCTTTTTGGCATTAGAGTGGTCGTCGTCTTCGAGAAAAGCTGTTGCGAGCCAGTCATCTTCGTCATTGTTCACAGTTGTTCCAACGTCGATTGTTTCCTCGTTGTTTGAATCATATTTGGTGAAAGATGCATCGAGGACGTCAAATTCCTCATTATTCACGATTGTTTTTCGGGGAGGCATCATGCAGGAGAATAGCGAGCCGATGGAAGAGAATGGGCAATGAAACCGTGGTACTATCCGCAAGAAAGGGATGAAAGGACGCGTTCAATGGATGAATGTGAAATGGAGTTCAGAAACAATGAAGGTCACGAGATGTCGTTACATGTTCCT